GGCACCTCTCGGCTCAGCCGGGGATGCCAAGGGGACCCCAAAGGGGAGGTTTTTGGCTTGAGGAACACCCTGACGGGGCATATGGTGGTTATTTATTTAGGAAACATGCAGCTTAGCAGGGAACCCACCGACCCCCCTTGCCCCATCCCCAGGGGTGCCAAGCAGCCTCAGTTTCTCCACGCAGGGAAATGGGCCGATTTTCCTTATTGAAAAAGGACAGGAGGGACAATACAAAGATCCCACGTGTAAATCTTCCTAAACGTCCCCTCTTCCCTCAGCACCCCAGGCTGGAGCCCTCCCACAACCCACCTGGATGAAGAAAAAGGCATTTTCCCAGCATTTTCTCAGCTGGGATGCCTCCCCGGTTGAGAGCCCATGTCACTGGGCTGTGATCCCCCAGCTTTACAGCCCCCAAGTTGGGGTTTGGGGAAGTTTTTCTTATTCCTAATTAATATTTTTGCACCATTTGGGAGGTGTTTAGGGTGTTTTTTTGTTTTCTTTCCAAAGGAAGGTTGGAAGAGGAGCAGCTGCTTGGCCACTGCTTGCAGCACTGGTGGGCGCAGTTGAATGGCAACATCCAACATGATGTCTGATGTTCCTGGAGAGGAAGAGCATTTCCCCAGTGAGATTTCGGAATGGTCACCCTGGACGCGGGGCAGGAAAGCTAGTGAGGTCTCCCATTCCCTGTGGCACGGGGAGGGGAGGAAAGGGCTGAAATTATCTCAGTTATTGTCTGATGCAAAGGAGGAGAAAATAGCCTGGGGCAATTCTTTAAAAGGCAAAGGATGAGCGATGGAGAGCTCTCCTCCCAGCCGACACACACCCTGTGCCACCCATGGAGGACGCAGCATCGGGGTGCTCTGGCGGCAGAACCTGTGCCACAGGGCGAGAGCTGCTGGCTGCAGTGGCGTTTGCACCTGATGCCGTTGGAAATGCTGACTGCCCTTGCTATGGGGCAGGCAGAGGGGCGACGGCGGTGTGAAATCTTGCAGCCTGATGATACTTGCAAAGCTGCAGCAGCACGGGCAGTCCTGCGCGGATGGGAGCCTCCTGGCTTCCCGCTGAAGGAAAGGAAATTTCTCATCATTTCAGCTGTAGAAGCAAGGCTTGAAAATGCACGCTCTGGAGCCAGGAAACGAAGGAAAATCAGATAAAATACACTTCTGAAAAGGATTTTGAGGTGAGACTCATGACTTTTCAATGGACCGGACTGATTTAACTCCCTTTGTGTCGCTGCCGGCTGGTGCAGCTCCAGCTTCTCGCTGTCCGGTCAAGCCAAGGGTCCTTCCCTGCTGCCACAGGACGCTGCCCCAGCCAAACTCCTGTGGTTTGGCTACAGGGAAGGGTGAGGGATTCATGTGGACACGTGAAGCACTATGTAGTGCAGCCATGAATATGTTTGAACTCTTGAGGTCAGCAGTTCAACATTGTGCCGTTATGCCCATCTCAGATATTTCATTCCCTTTCTAAGTCCTCATCATGAGACAGACCAGTGGAGGCACAGCTGGTTCATGATTTGGGGGATTTCTTCTTGGATGGTACACTGGAAAGGGACTTTAAAGGCTGCCACATCACTGCACCGGAAGAGGATCGTGGGGCATGAGCAACATGAAAGAGGATGGTTTGGTCATCCAGCTCCAGAAACAGGGCAGGAGTGATGGCAGGCCTGCATGCCCTCTGTGTGGAAGTGAGAACGTGAACAGAGCTCGCAAGAGCAGCAGTCTAAGTCACCCCCATGCACACCCCTTAAAAACCAGTTTCTTCAAACACCGCTCTGGGAAAACAGCTGGTTGAGATAACCAGAGGTTTTGTGTGCTGGAGACAGTTGGCCTTCATCTTTCTCACTACGTGCACAAAATGGATTGTTATCTTCCGTCCACTACGTACACCCGGCTTTGTTTGCTGCCATTGGCACAATAGCTTTTAAGAATAGTCTCATCTTTGTTCACCTAGGAGAAAGTAATTGGTCAAATTTAATTCAAAGAGAGATCAATTAGAAAAGGTTGTGATAGACAGTTAGGTCACCAGCAACTCCTATAAATCGCGGGTAGAATTTCCTCCTTTGCCATATACCAGTTTGATATAGGAAATGGCTCATTTGCAAGCTAAAGGTTTAATTAGGAGAAAAAAAGGTCAGCAGAGATCAGATGTGAATTGCAAAGTGCTAAAGAAGTTTACTGCAGCAACGTATTTATTGAGAGCCATGCTATAGATCTGCTCCCTCTCTGACCAGAATGCTAATAGCACCCCTTTGAATTCTTCCTATCAACAGAAAAATCATTGATAATACATGGGATGCTTTAAAACTATTTGGCACCCACTTTCTTTTTATGATAATCAAAGGGCTTTGCTAAGACCCAGAGACTCCCTTACCCATGTCGTTAATTGTGGATCCTTCTTTCCAGGTCGGGTTTCCAGAATATGACACCCTTCGGGTCGCTGTTTCCTCTCCCATCCATTGCAATATGAGCTTTGCAGAGGGTATTTATTGCTCCTCCTCATCAGGGACATAGTCACAATGTAAATTGTGCCAGAAATACCAATATGATGAAAATTCATGGTGTTTCTTCCTCACCTTACTGTATTCTGGATGGTTTTTATGGGCATGCAAACTGCAGAAATAGAGTTCTGTACAAGCTCTCTTAAAAGCAATGGGAGCAATAGTAATGTGATCACACAAGGTTTTAGCTCGTCGACGAGAGTGCTGAGCTGGCCCAAGGCAGTAGAGCCTAAAGTCAAGCCACGCCATGGATCTCAGCTCCCAGGGTTGCCGCGGGCAGTGCTTGTTTCAATGACCTTTGGGGTCCAGGGGAGAGGGGTCCAGGGAAGGCTCAGCCACGTTCCAGGTGCTACCAGCTCTGTGGGCGGCAGGAGGAACAGCAGCCCCACGTGTTGCTTCAGACACCGGGATGTAGCGGACCAATAATATGCTCTGACACACTGCTGTTCCTGCAGACAAGGTGGGAATCATCATCACTTCATCTGCATCTCCAGGAGCTCCATGAAGGCTGCCTCCTGCTGCCCCCTGTTCCCTGCGTCTCCGGGGGGTTCCCACCGGTGGGGATTGGCATCAGTGCTCTCGGTGTGGCGGTGCTGCGACTGCCCTTTGCTGGGACCTTGCCAACGGGCGCAGATGCAGCTTCCAGCCCAATCTGCGCTGCAGCTGGGGCCGGGAAGGGTTCAAGGAGTGCTGCTTCTTGGCCAGAATCACCAGGGGTCCAGGCATCCTGCATTGTCACCGAGAACACCGTGGTTTGGGGCTTCCTTAGGTGTCATATGTAACTAATGACTCTGCAATAGCATATGGCAGGATGAATGCTGCAGAGGTCCAGAGACAGCCACCAAGGTGGAGAGAAATCAAAATGGCAGCTGGACCTGGCTGGGAGAACAAGAGCAATTTTTCCAGTCACTTCCATTTGTTCCAGTATCACTCAGCCCCACACCCAGTTTGATGAGAGATTGCAATTTCGCTTTAAGCAACACTATATGAAAAAGGACGGATAGCAATCAGATTGTAAACTGATGTAATTAAACAGGCAACGTTAATTCCCAGCACCTGAGACTCAAGTCCTCCGTGCAGCGTCGATAACACTAATTTCAATAATTTCGGCAAAGCAAACTGTACGAACAATAGGCGGAGGACAGAGGAGGCTCTTCACTCTTCTGGAGGATCAGAAACTCGCAGCAATTATCAGTCAACAGTTCCAGCTGCCTGGTAAACTGTTAAGACTAAAGTAAACACATCACGGCTCTGAGGCTGGAAACAGAAGAGCTGTAATTATTTTGAAGTTTAACTATTGCCCCCATCTCCAGATACAGGGAGCAAAACGACACAGACCCCGACACATCCAGCTTCCAACAAAGACATGCGATGCTCCTCATGCAGAAATTCAAGTGTGCTTCTAGAACGCTTAAGATTCAGGTTCTACGTGTATAAAGCATTAACCATTTCCTCCCAACAGCAGACAAAAGCCGCATTACCTTGGGCAAGCCACGTTCCTATTAAAAAATCGGCTCCTCTGAGCCTCCTAAGAGGAGCAAGTGGTTCCCTCCTCTTTGCTGTGCGTGTGGGGGAAATCAGCTGTTCTGACAACCAGATCATGTTTGATATCATCTGAGCTGACTCGATAGAGATGTCAAATGGGAGAAGGTAGCAGAAGTCTGCCTCGCAGTTTAATTGGCTTACACTTTTGTATATGCTGTTTTAAAAGCAAGGCCTTCAAAATGCAATTTGGACGAGTTGCGTGGGGCTTTATCCTGGGCGATCTCGCAGCCTTCTCACTGTGACAAAAACAGTGCGGCTCTGAACACAGGCTGTATATATGGTCGGATTTATGGAGTATTCATTATTTTAATAGGACTTATTGACTTAGGGTCAAATATCTTTTTCCAACATTTTTTTATTTAAGGAAAGAGCCCGTATGTCACAATCTCATGCCTCATCTAATTGGATAAGTGTTTCCTTTGTCCTTGAAACCGAAAAGTAGACCGCGTATCCAGGAGCTACAGAATGAAAAAGCATCTGCCTTTGGTATTTGGCATGCCTCAATTAAAAAACCCGCTGCCTGGGCTATCATTTTTTTTGAATTCTGACCAGAGCACTTCTGCTCAGATTCAAGCAGACAGTTCTGAAGGTCGAGCTGGGGGTATGTAAAAAACCAAATCCTTTGGAACAATATGTAGAACGTTAATGTTTTACATACAACAGCAAAGAGGCCCGGATCCAGCAAAGCCAAGTTCAGAGTCATGCTGGAAGCAGGGGAACGGCTTGCATGCTCACTCCCCTCCGAGCGTTTCTGTAAGCTCCTGCTGGAATGGAGCTCAGGTCCACTCGCAAGACGTGACTCCCCTCCCTCCCAGTCTCACAAATCTAGCGCTCAATATGCACAAAACACTTCCATCTTTAAAAAATAATTGAAAAGGTGCACCCTGAAGTTCACTGGATCGATCCCTCTGAATTATTTTATTTAGAAGACACTTCATTGTGTCAAAGATTTAATGGAGAGGTTACGATGCCCAGCCTTCAGAATGTCAATGCATTAAAATGGAGCGTTGCAGGGAATGTTAAAATCCTCAGTAACGTACGCCCAAGCAAAACTGCCAATTTATGAAATATGAACGTTATTATAGAGAGTTTAGATAAGACATAGGCTGCTGGGGAAAAGCAGTATAGGGGCCAGAATCCTTCTGTGTGTGTCTTACAAGTAGTGGGATGAAATTTAGCAGCCTCACTATGGACTCTTTCGCCTTTCCCTTACACCCCTTCGAGCGTTCGCTTCCCAAGCTGTATCTTTTGAAATGCATGTATTTTTACGTAAGCAGTATTTCCCGGCACACTTGATTAAATACCTTCCCTTGTTCTTTATTGCCCATTAAACAACATATCTTCTGCATGTACCTTCGCTGGACAAAAGATCTTTGTTATCAAATGCAGACCTCAGCATGTCTTAGGCCAGAGCAGTTTACTGCAATGATCTCTACGTGGGGCTGCAGCTGAGAAGCACTGAGAAAGCTCCGGCAGCACAGATCAGGGTTCTCTGCTTATTAGGCGGCATTTCTGGTAGCTGAGAATTACCCTACTTTACTACATTTTACATTTCTTGGTGCATACCATAAGGTTATAATACAGAAGATGTCCAAAGGTTTTTCTCTCTCTCCTTGGGGAATCTCTCTCTTCGGGTGCTGCAGGAACAATTGTGATCCACCAAAGTACTGCTAGGCTGTAAAGTTTCAAGTGAAACAGGAGGGCAGGAGAAGGAATGACAAGTCCTTTTTACTGAAATTCTCTCCCCAAATGGATTTGGCAGAGCCCAGCTCTGCCGATCTTAAAGCAAGGTTTATCATTTGTGCAGGCTGCTGCCTGAAGGGGGAAAAGATCTTTGAAGTTCCTGAATGATGGAAGGGTCTCCCCCCTCCTCTCCCTCACTCGCATTTTTTAAGGGTAGAGACTGGGAGATGCTCAACTGCCCTGAGTCAGGAAATTACATGACAAATTAAACAATTATGTGTTTTAGTGCTGAGCATCTATTTAGCTATTTAGTGTCAAACGTGCATTTAGCATGAACTCCATGGGCATTTATACTTTTCCCTGTCACCTGTAATTCTACACTGCGTTATTTTACTGCATGTCAAGAGCTCTCCCAGTCCAGTATCTACACCTTGAAGACATTTCTTTATCGCTTAACTTTATTACAGAAGGCACTGCCTGGACACTGTTGGAGTGACAAGGACTATTTCCTTAATTACTGTACATTGATAATAGCATTTACTCTGGCAGCTCCAGTGCTATTCAATCAAGCAAGATTCAATACAAAAAAGCTGATTTGCCAAAAAAGAGATTAGCATAAGTGCCTACAGTCACATTCTATTTTTGAAGGTAAAGCTACTGTGTCTGTGAGCTTTCTTGTGGGAACTTTATAACGAGAGATTAATCTAGTTTATCTCCTTCAAAAGATATTTGGGAAAATCACAGACAATCACTGTTTAGGCTCTTTTGGTAATAATTTTCTATAAACATCTACAATAAAGAACTGCACAGCAAGCGCTAATCAGCAGCAGGAAGGTATATTTTTTATCTTACGCGGACGTAGATGTTTGTTGTGAAAAACTCTATGTTCCCCAGTTTGCTATTGCTGTTCTTTGTCATTTAATCAAGTGGTGACTGTAGCTGTTGCACTTTAAAATTAAATGCTATTATTTATGGTAGAACTTGTTCTAGTTAAAAATGCAGACCTCAGCACTGTGTATGTTTGTAAGCAGAAGGTTAAGCAGGACATTTTAAATGGTAAAGCAAAGGGCTTAATCAAGGCTGAAGAGCAAAATGCAGTGGGATAACAGACAGAATAAATAGGCATTAATCACCATACAGGCTTAATCCAGGTATTAGGCAGTCTTGGGGCTAATACGAAGACTCACTTACATAAGGATTCATTCTACCAACACTTAAGTAAGTGAACAACTTTATTCTTGGGAGAAATTTCACCAGTGTTAAAGGCCCTTGCAATATCAGGCCTATATTAGGTCTTTGTAAAATGATCATCACGCAATTATTTTGCCTGACGGGGATTTCTGAATTAGGAGGCACGTGGGGGTGTGGTTCAAGAAAGGAAAAAATTGAATCGCCAGAGCATAAGGAGCCACTTTTTCATGGTTTTTTTCCCCTTGACACTGTCTATTACTGTGACATCAGAAGCCGAGCTAAGTACTTCTTGCCAAAGATGGACCAGATAAAATCACGAAGCCAGTATCATCTCATGGGAGACAGCTCACTGTCTTAGTGACAAATTTAGTGACTACAAATCCAGGCTTAGAACATAGTCCTTCCCTAGTCATAATCCAGCACTTGCACACTGGATTTGCATTTAACTACTGATGAACTAAAATTTCAGTTTCAAGAAGATAATAGCACATCCATAGGTATGAAATTCACTATACAAAAGTTCTTTTATTAGATACTTAGAAAGATTAAAGTGCTTCCATGTTTAACTTAACATCAAAAATTCCAAATCTTTATACAAACAGACATATGTACTGACATACCAGCACACAAACCCCAGCCTCCGGCCCAGGGTGGGTTTTGGCATTCTGGTCAAGCTTGCCTTACCTAGCCCTGAAACAGAACGGGCAGACTCACAGTAAGCACACCATGACCTAACCTGAGGAAAGGGAAAGGAGATGGAAGTGTGGAATGGGGTAGATGGCCACGGTTTATCTATTCAAGGAACAGCAAGATGAAAAAAAATCCACAAACCTTTAATTGTGAATGTAGGAGAGGGACAGTGATGTAACTGTTCCCAGGGAACACTATTCTTATTTTGTAGAGGGAGGTGAGCCAAGATACTTAAGCTCTAGAGAACCTTTAACACAGGAAGCTATTTATCATAACAAGCTTGGTTGATACTGCTCCCATACTGAACCAATTAGATTAGCCTATTTCGTCATACTTCATAACTTGGGATGATAGGTTTCCAAGCATGGTACAGTGCAGTAATTGAATTTTGATCAAACACACATGGCCCATAACCCAGTATGTGAAACTTTCAGAACAGTTCACAGCTTTTAAATATCCAGTCAACATGTTGCCAAAAGTACAGGATGTACTTGATGCAAGTGGGAGAGGAGGGGGGGAGCACGAGTCCACGCCGTAACTTGGTACAGCTGTAAAACAAACATTTTTTTGTTCCGATTCTGTTCCTACTTTAGCAAAGGAGCTGGGAGGAAGACAGTGAATGTCAAGTAAGTCGTTTTTCCCCCCAACCCCCACACCCTCCAGGCACACATTTCCCTTTTAACATTCTTAGATTACCACAACCTTTTAAATTCACTATACTGTACCTTCATACTGTATTAGACATACCAGCAATTATGTTTGTTAGCATGACACATCCATTGCTTACACTTAGTTAACAAAATAACTTAAAAGTTGCATGCATCATCCTCTTAATAGGGTTATAACCAATGGGACCATGGAATGAAAGCCCTAAAAATTACCCCCCACCTCTGCATTCCCCAGGCTTCTGCCTCTGCCAACACAATCCATATGGTGGGCAGTCTTGTCAGACTCAAGGTGAACACTCAGTCAGTTCTTCATAGGCAGTGATCTCCTCTTACGTGTTCTTGCCATGTTTTCCCCATGGTAAATCCAAGGAACTTTGAAGAAGACTCTGTGTAAAGGAAACAGAATACATTAATAAATTCATTCCTACAGTTCTACTGACTAGGGAGCAAAGCACCCGCCACAGAACAGGTTCATGACATGGAAAATGCTGTGCCAGACTTTCTTTTGAGCAAGTAATGGCGATCCATATCAAAGCTGCTCTCGGGCCTACAGCTAAGAGTCTGGCATGCTTAAGCAATGGAGCAGAGTGTCACCAACCTCTGCATATGGTGCTGCCAACTTCTTTCTCAGCTTTGAATGCTTTGACCTGAAAGGCAGCTGGAGGCAGCTCTGGACATCTCAGCTACCCGAAAGGGAAGCACCAGGGCAGCCAACACCTTCGCTTTCATTGAGGTGGTGCAAATGACATAAAAGATGGGAATTACTGCTACAGCCCTCCAAAGAGTGTAGGATCTGACGGTTTACCCAAGCGCTTCTAGTTGCACTCTGTGGATTGTCTGCCTCCGAGCCTCCTCACACACCTGTTCTGGAGTACAGCTGTGTAAGAGAAGCAGCAACAGGTTCCAAGGGGAGAAATGGTGCTTTTCAGATGTAACAAAATGTGCATCTCATTAGTCTTGCTGTTGGTTGGGGACAGGTATATCGCCCGATTACAGCCGCCACCCTGTCAGAGACAGTGCAGAGGATGCGCTGGATCCACCTCCCTCCCCACCCCGCTCCCCACTAAGTTACGGTGCTGCAGAGAAAAGAAAAAAAAAAAAAAAAAAAAAAAAAAAAAAAAAAAAAAAAAAAAAAAAAAAAAAAAAAAAAAAAAAAAAAAAAAAAAAAAAAAAAAAAAAAAAAAAAAAAAAAAAAAAAAAAAAAAAAAAAAAAAAAAAAAAAAAAAAAAAAAAAAAAAAAAAAAAAAAAAAAAAAAAAAAAAAAAAAAAAAAAGAATTTGGTGTTCATTTGGTGTTCAACTTATCAGACTTGGACCAACCCTCAGCTTAAACCAAGGTTAAATAGGCATGTTCTAAGCCTCTTAAAGACAGGATTTATATAGTAATTACAGTAATGGAAACTGATCTTTATAATTTTTACACTGCCTAAAATTCTGCTGTGTCATATGCATCTGCAGAGCCTGAGAACTGTGCTTCTGAGAGAGAGCACTGCAGTCTTGAAAGCAGCCATTCAAATGTATAACAGAGAATTATCAGAGCACGAGTATGTTGGAGATTATAAGGAAGCACGAAGACTAAAAATCAGAAATCCCAAGTTTGTATTTGAGACAAGCAGTATTTTTTAAACACTTTCTTTTGTTGGGAGTTTATGGAACTAGATCTTCATCACGCACAGTGCAAACAGCATTGAGACTGCCCTTTCTATTCTTATATTTCCTTTCTTTTCCTTTGCTACAGTTGTAGGTCTAGAGAGTGAGCATAGTGCAAAACATATCTCGGCCAGACTGAATCCTCACATCCACTTCCCAGTTTTCTCTGTCATGCAAGGAAAAATACCCCAGTGCTAAGTCTTTGCTGAATGATAAAGAACAACTTCAGAAGATTTGGAGATCTGATAGGGGGTTTGGCTCCACCTTCAGGAAGCAGAAGGCAAAGAGACAACACGGTTTTAAGTTTCAGACATACTTTCTACAGAAACTGAAGCCTACAACCCCCTCTTAGTGACATCTGCTGCTCCCCAATGTGTCTTTGCTTCATACATGTAAAACATTCCCTGATCTAATGCTGTGACATTTCTACATACTTGATTCATCTCTGAAGAGTCCAACTCCTCCTAGAAGTACTTGAGAACTTGTGGCAGGATGTCCAAAGGTAGCTGATACATGAAAAAACAGAGCTGATACACGAACAAAAGTAAACGAAAAGCAGCTTTGAGGTGAAAAAAAAGAAGTTGTGACACATAGGATGTCATAGAGCCGTATCAAATATTATCAGTCATTTACCCTGTCAGTGCTAAGGTTTCCATATAGAATGCAATTTTCTTATAATTCACAGAGATTAGAAAGGTTCTCTGGGTAACACAGATGGATTGAGCGGAAGAAAGTGGGAAGAGTCTTGATCAAATTTCAGTCTAGCAAAACACTTAAGCATATGCCTACAGTTAAGCTATTTTTTCTCCTCAGATCCAGGCAGAAGATGCAAACAGAATAATCTCTTGTATTTCACCTCTTGCAAGACTGTGGTGCAGGTTGAACCCAGAACATAGCATCTGGTTAAAAAGCATGATTTAAATTAATTAAAATGATGCATTTCTTAAAGAAGCCATATAGTGACCATTTATAATAATGAAAATGGCAAAGTAGTTAGGGATGAGACGACACTGAGTTTGAAAGACTGTATGATGTATTAGTGAAATAATAGGCAATCACACAATTAGTGACAGTCCTATGAGGCAATGGAAATGTATGGATGCTTGCAAAATTTTCCCTTTGGCATTTCCCCAACTGGGTGCTTAAGCACCCAACCTTACTGTATTCAACATCATTTTCTGGAGGAAACAGGTTTGAAAACTGCAGAGCAAGCAACAGGAATGGCTCTCGGTGCAGAAATGGACTAAACACCTAATGAATCTAAAAATAAAAAAACCCCAAAACACTGAGAAGAGATGCGAGAAGACTGAATAGACATAGCTGTGTAAGCAAATATAACTGAATATACTCTTGAGGAACAAAGGAAACAATTCTTGATGGGGTGACAACAGATGTTCTCCAAAAAAATTCTAACGGAGCATTTCAAACACAAAGACCTTCCTGTGGGGCTGAGAAGTTTTACTGGCAGACATACAGTAATACATCTTTGGAAACATAATAAAACCTAACATTTAAGGTGTTATCAGGTCCTAAAAGCAGAAGTGATATCTTCATGTAATAAGTGGTGGGTGGTGGTGGAGAGGGAAACAGTTAGGATAACAAAACACTGTCACAGGAAGTTGCCATAGCATAGCTGTGATTTAAATCGCAGGAGGAATAACTAGTCAGAGAGTTTGTTTTAAAATATCTCTAAATCCACTTTTTTGGAAAACGAGCTCTAAACACAAGTGAAAGATACACAGGTTGACCTAACTGAACAAATACAATCCAGAGTAATTTATTAGTACAGTAAGCACACCTAAGTACAACCACTTTTGCACTGTGTGAGTGAATGCAAAGTGCCCAAAGCTGAATGTTTCTACCAGCTACTGCTCTTTCAGGTCATGGTTAAGCACATTGCAGAAAATCCTAAAATGGACATTAAAAAAAAAAAAGGAAAAAAAAGGACAGGTTTATGTAGTCATTTTTGCAATGACTGAACTGCACTGGTACTTAGGGAAGATTTGGATTTAACTCCTGGCATGGATCTGCAGCATCTTCAGTGAATAGCTTTATACAGGTTTTTAAAGGCTAGGTACTTCAAATTCTCTTTTTAAACTCTGGCCTTTACTTTTCATGTGCTTTATTTTTACAGATACAGAATAATACTTCTCCATCTTGTTGGAATGTTGAAAGGATTCCTGAATATCTGCAAGGCCAGCAGATATCATTTTATCTGGGAACGAGGCAGGAGGATGACATAGTACATTGACTAATTATTTTTATTGCTTTGCAACTGTTTTTGGGAAAACAATCCAGAGAGAAGATTATTCCAGTGCAGTCAGAGCAATCAGAACTACAGAAACGCTAGGATGGACAACTTGATTGACAGGAAAAAGCTAAAGCAGGCAATAACACAGAAAATCATCATAGGACAGACATTTTGATAAATATTACTGTAGCCAATTTATTATTAACACAGTGGGACAGCTTTACATCTTGCATCACACTTTTCACAGCCCTTATGGTAAACATGCCATATCTGACAATTACAAGATGAAAACAAAGACCTCACTAACTCTCTACTGGCCCTGCAGTATTATCTGCTTACTCAGTTAACCCTCTCTAAACTTCAGCTAGGCAACTAAACAAGCATATAGAAACGCAGATATGTGTATTCAGATATAGAACATAATTCCAACAGTATCCAATACAAGTTCCAAAGGTTACGCAATTCCAACAGCATCCAATACAAGTTCCAAAGGTTACGCCATCTGTGGCACTAATTTCTAAAAGGCTTTACAGACAAAGGAGAGGGTTGCGAAAGAAGTGGAAAGTTGTTAGTACAAGATAGAGGATCAAGTGGAATACCATCTAAAGGGAAGAGAAATAAAATTTTGCTAACGCTTGAAATATTGCTCTGTCTGGTCACCCATGGCTTCGTTCTGACTGCTATGACGAAGCAGTGCAGTCCTGACAAGAGCATACACTGGTATCGCAAACCAGAGAGCATCGGGATGAAAGAATCCCATAGCAGTTTTTATTTCCTGGATTGGTTGACACACATCTTCTGTTTCTACAGAAACACTGTAACTTGGAATAACAAATCTTTCTCTCTGCTGGCTACTTGGTTTCTGGGATTAACAAACTATCTGATGGGCCTCATAGCTAATCATATTTTCATCTGATTCACACAAAATAGCTCCCGAATTCTTTTACGGATAATGAAGCACAAGATGGACTGCTGAAATCATTAAGTCAAGCCCTCTGCTACTTGTACTCATGGAGATACATTTTGGAATGAAATCTTGTGTGATGAGTCGCCCAAGGCTATTTTTTTATTATAATGTCCATGCTATCTTCCTATTTTCACAGCTACATTACCAGCTTCAGTGTTAAAAAACAAAAAGCAGACAAGTCACAGGATGATCTTAGCCATGAGATTTTATTTGATTCAAACATTTATTTTCCGTCCACTTCCTGTCTGTTTTTGAAAGTATTTCAGGAAACAAAACTGACATGCACAAAGAGCATTCAGTGAAAGAGAGACAAAAGGGATATGCAACAAATATCAGGCAAGTGAGCAAAGCTGAAAGTGTTTTTGTCTCTTTGAACCCACAAGTGAAACGCATGTTAGCAAGTATTCCAAAACTACGTCTTTCTTGCGTGAAGGAAGGAATTAATGTTAAGCACAAAGTATTCCTTGTGGTTCATTCTCATTACGTGATATGTCAGGTTACGCTGATTTGGAAAAAAACAGGATTTCTTTACAAAGCTTTCTGTGCACAAGTCTTAATGTAAGTTTAAAAGAGACTAAACACCACAAATTGCACTTTTAAAAATCAATTTAGGAATCTCATTTTTTGTAATTCCCTTAAAAATACCATTTGTGGACACATTAATAAGATTTTGAAAGTTTCATCTGAAAAACAAAAGAATAGCCCAAATTTTTGAAAAACATCTACACTACAGTTTATATCACGTGGATTTCTCACTCAGTTACTGCCGGTTTTCATTAGAAGGTGAAGGGAATGTTTAAAATTGGTCAAATAACATGAAGATTCTGTTGACATGTTTTCTGTCTCTGTGTGTATATACTTCTCTTTAAAGGAACATCTAGGTAAATCTTGGTTGTCCTAAAGACTTTGGTCACACAACTTAGAAGGACACAGAATTTATTTCACTGAAGCACAACTGATCTAAACTAAGAACCTTTTAAGGGCTTTATTAGTACAAAGAATTCACTTTTTTGACAATCTGTAGCTGTAAAACACATGCACCAATTTCTTTTCAGAAAAAGAAGGTATGTATTTCACTATGGATGGTTGCAAGGGAGGAAAAAAAAGAAAAATCAAAATAAGCAGAATGATTATTTCCTATTCTAACCTTAGGGCACCCCAACATCCACCCTCCTTTTTTGTGATGTGTCATCTACGGTTCTATTTTTTATGCATCCATATTTTTACTGTTGATCAGCACTGACCAAATTTTGCAACTTGACCAAAATTTTCTTTAAGCTTTACAGAAACAATTATTTCCGTTAATAGAATTTCACAGAATACACCAGCACAAGATTTAGGGCCATCTGGATTTTAACTAACAGGATAGAAAGGCAGTTTCTGTGGTTTGGGATATTTAAGTTCATTTACAAACTGCCACACAGTTATGAAAACAGACCCCACTTGTAATCCTGGCCCATCCATGCTAAAACTCTCATCAATTTCAATGGACTAAAGATCAGCATAGCTGTTCTGAACAACTCTTTCTCCACCTGTCTATAACACTCTAAATTATACTTACAGACACAGAACAACATCAGTGCAAACTGCAAGTCTGCACATTTCACAAATGATACAACTTAGCAACAAACTATGTGCTCACAGAAATATAGCAGTCACAGAAACTTGGCGCCTTTGAGGTAAACTCATTCACTTGAGGAATTTTCATATTTTATCATCTTTGTTCAATGTACATTTAATATTCAGTTCTGATGAAGTGTAATTAATAAGTCATCAGCAATTTCAGTGGACGACTGGATCAATCTGTAAAAATGAAATGCAGCTATGCATTTGTGACACTTACTGCCAGGGTTAAGGATAGGTCTGCATTTTCCTGAATGTTGCATTGGTAATAGTGAGCCGTGTAAGCCTTGCTCCATAGTAATCTATAATGTAACTAGAGCCATCGGAAGGTCCAACGATCTACAAGAGAAAAAGAACCAAGACTTTTCAATATGAAGTGAAATATACACTTTGTGCTAATGTCTCAATTACTGCTAATTTTCCCATCATAAAATTAGTCATGCTTAATTAGTCAAACAGAAACTAGATTTATTTTGAAGTTATGCTGTAGTTTAACTACTTTAGCGAGTGCTGTCTCAGAAGGAACATTTCCCTAGGGCTTCTAATCAACCAAATTACACAGCCAGGTACTGGTACTAGGTTAAGCCGACGAGAATTTGAGGCACAAAATCAGGCTAACAAATGAGTGGGCTCCAAACCACTTTTCTTGAACAAAGGAGGGTAGGCAGGAGAGAATTAGGTTGATGACAACTATCTTTGAAATACTGCACAGGTAAGGAATGGAGAGAAGGAGAGAAGATCATGGCTTTTTTATTCTGGAAATGCTAAACTGATGTGGGGTCACCAGGGAGATGAACAAGGAGAGATGAAAGATACTCTCAACTGTATCTGTAAGTGATCCAAGGCAAGATCACTGCAATAGCATAGAAAGGAATTTAAGAATGCATATACTTTAGAAGACGTATATACAAAGATGTATACTTTTAAGATATTTTTCTATAAACCCATATAAACAATTTCTATATCCGCAATGCATTTTAAGTTCATCATAGGCAATTTGTAATTCATGCTAAATGGATGCACTGTAGAGTAAGACAATTTGGCAATTTCATGATGTCATAAGATGTCACCCTGGCTGCGGATTTAACCATCATGAATCCTACAGTCACAGCTCTCAGGTGATAGGGGACTTGTATTTGGAGGAGAGGCAGAAGAAAAAAAGTGGCAATGTCTTCTCTCCTGCACGCTGCACAGACATCCCAGATGATGGGCTCCATCAGTATAAAGCACATGCAAACGCAGAACTTCAGGATTCTGGGAACAGCAGGATATCTCATGCAAAGTCCAATACTCTGTCACATAAAGAGCTCATAGATTCTGACAAAGTGAATTTATGGTGTTATAGCTTCCAAGCTATTCATTACAAGTATTTATAGATAGCTAATCTAACTTTTAATTCAAACAACAAAGACATTGATATTTTGTAACCATATTCTACAACATCAGTCTACAAACAGAGCTAAAATAAATGTCTATTTTTTAATACACAAAGTTTCTTAATGCTAAAATGCTAACAAAGAATTAGCAATCAAATCAAAGCTTTAACAAACACAGATTTGTATCTTGTTTTGAAAGCTCTGACTTACCTGCATTGAAATAAGTATGAAATCAATTAGGCTACCAATTCCACAAAATCCTACAGTGCAGAACTTTAACAAACCTACAAAAGGAAAATAAAATTTAACTGTAGCTTTAAGCCAGTCACTATGAAGTTCCACAGGTTTCTGGTGGCAATCACATCCCAACTCTCTCCCCATCCCGCAAAATATATATATACACACCCCCCCGCCAGAAACAGACCTAAAGTTAAAGATCTTTAATTATCAGGGAAAAAACCAACCGCATATTCATATTTCTACATCCTGAATACACTTTAAAGATTTTAAACATTAACAATTTTTTTTTTTAAACAGATAAATATTCTTAAACAAGGAAAGGCAAAAGTTGATAACCAAGTTACCGGAAATTTTCCTTTCTTTGACTGAGGCACAGAGAGAAAAAAATCGCAACTTGAGCTGCAAAATTTACTTATCAATAGAAGGAGACTTTCTACCATCTGATGAGTTGCAGCACATACTGATTTGATTTTCAGAACATGCTACTTTGGAGAACAATCCTTTGTATCATTTTTGTATTTTTGCTGAAATAGACATTTATTTTGACCATATATATACATATATATAAACACTTCTTTTTAACCGGTATTCAAAATGGTTATTTTTTGTACGAATAAATGAAAGATTAATAGAAAATATATGGGAATAGCAACTAACAGATAAATGTTTCATTTGAAGTTGCCATGCAAGGCAGACTTCATTTGGAAAATGCCTTCAGAAGAAGGAGGCTGTCTTAAATTTTTAAATTTTTTTTAATATCAGTGGTTTCTTGTACAATGAATATAATACAATGAGTACTACATATACTGTAAGTAATACTTCAGCTGAGCTAGGCAAACATCTAGGTTATTTTGAGAATGAGATACTCATTGTGAACACATTTGTGTCTTTACCCAGGCATAGACAGTATGAAGAGGAATGCATATCTGTTGCATTTAAGTCAGTTGTAGGCTATGCTGTACAGGGAAAACACAGTTCCCTGCTAAAAAGCATATCCTTACTGCGCTTACAGGGGCTAGCACACTTCTGAGGCAAGAGAGAAAGCACATTGATAACATCAGCCAGTGTGGCATCCCAGAGCACCTCTTCCCCACAGCCACAAGTTGTGCTGTGCTGCATAATACCTGCTTGGAAAAGAGCTGCATGGTTTTACTAAGAACAAGCCTGCTCTCGATCAAACACCTGAAGGTCTCCTGACCTCCGCCTCCTCCTTTGCACTCCCCCTCTCTCAGAAGCAGCAATCTGTCCTGCATACCACCTCCTCTCCCCCATGCCCTGTTTATGAGGCTGCATATGGAGGAGAGTGGGGGAGTAACTGCATGCACACTGTAGGAAGAGCATCCCACTGTCTGGATATAGCTCCCATAGCTGACAAGATAAAACTAGCCTGATTTATAAACTCCAGGGAGACAGTTTATAATCTCTCCATGGAACAACACAGTAGTCAGAGAGAACAGGGAAAAATTACCACGAAGATGAAAGAGTAGTAGCAGGACAGACTTTCAGCTGATTAGAAGAAAAGCCTATGTGCATATTACAACTAAAATGGTGCCACTTAAACGTGCAAAAAACTAAGTTTATCATTGTTTAAAACAACTTGTTCCCAGTGGCTGATGTGCGAGACTTGCAGCAGCCAGACATAGTTAGCCTGGGTATCAGTACTGGCAGTAACGTAACAAAACGTAAGGGAAACAGCCAGCTAAAGAAATGCTAGCCTTAGGAAACAACAGATAAGACAATTAAATAATGTCAAACTCTGGTGAACATTTTAGTTAGTTATTACCTGCATCAAGTGCAGTCACCATTTAAGATATTTATTTGTGATGCTCCTTATACCACCTCCTCTCAAGCTCTGGTCCTGAACCTCACTGCCAGTTGGCATTTTAGGAACACAGCAGTTCTCTTACCATTGCTAGTTCCAGCAGCCACTCCAGTTTACTTGGAGAACTGGCTGCTCCATTATGTTACTGGATGTGGAAGAACTGTTTCTGAACCTGGTGTATGTTTCTGGAGAGCAGGGTAAAGTGGATTTTTTTTCTTCCTCCTCACTTCTCTCCCCATGAGCAAATCACACTGAGAAAATAAACTGCTCTAAAGCATGGAGGGAAAAAATAGTGCTCTTACACAGTAATAACTTATGGCTTAGTTCACAGTGTGTGGGAGAGGAAGAGGTTGCCTTCCTGATTTCTTCATATTCAATAGCTTGTTTGTATTTGTGCTCTCTTTAAGCAAAAGAGAAGGAAAAAAAAAATAAATGAAAGAGCATTTACAGTCTTCAGTACGCTTGCACAAAATATTTCAATGCTATTACCTTTCTTTACCATTTTTTGCCAAGGCATGGATGCCCTAAAAAATCCCCAATCAACCACTGTCAAGGAATCCAGTTTACTGATTTTTATTCTTTTTTTCTTTTCTACTCTTACCTATTTGCTTTTGTCTTCTTTACCTTTCAAAAGCTTGAAAACTTGATTTTGGAAGAGTTTAATTTTAAGTCTTTTAACTTTGGTTACTGGCTACAGTATATTCCAGTAGGGTTAACAAGTATGACCCATAAAGAACCTCTATATAAGAATGGAGAATTTATAAATCTATAATACTACAATATATTACAAAATAATTACTGCAAATTATTATTCCAAATCCAATGGTATAACAAAAAGGTGCACCTTATTGACCGCTTCCAAAAATGTATCTTTTTGTGAAACAGATGGACAAAGTAAGTGCTAATTATAGAATCTCAGGGAGAAAAGACACAGATGTTAACACAAGATTATCGAGAAGGGCAAATAATGTTATTAAAAAACCAAGGGTTTGCATTTAATGGACAGAAACTCAAAATTCCTAGCTGAAGTGACAGTAACATGTATAGCTTTTTCCAATTCATTGCTCCATGCTAGCTAGACTTAAATTTACGCCATTTGTCCAGCTCAGAAACAAAGCCAGTGAAAGTAGTTCTAACATACTATGGTATTTCCATTATTTAAAAGCCAGTGGCATCATCACCTTGGGAATCAGGTCCTAAAAACACTAATCAGAGGTAGGTCTTATTAAAGGTCCCAGCTTCTGCAGAACTGTTATTAATACTATGAGCTATCTTGAAAATATGCATTTGCCAGAATAAATTCCGTATCCCAAAACACTAGGTTTACTGTAAAGTTTGCCCACTATTTTCCTGGTAAAATCAACCATCATTTAAGTAGCTGGCACATGAGTCAAAACCACTTCTGTTTCAGTGCCTCACAAAGAATGCTGTGGTAAACATCAATGCAAAGCAAACATAAAGCAAAACTATGAATAGCAACAATCATGTTTGCTTATTAGGATTCTATCTGTTGGACAACTATATATCCATTTGTCACCACTCACTCCAACAGAATAGCAGGCTGAGGATAATGCAGGATTTTATCTTACTTGAAAATAAAGTAAGGATTCTTGCTGTAAATATTAAAACTATGACTGTCAGCCTTCATTACTCAAAATTTAAGTATACAAATACAACTCAGCCATAACAATAAGCTTTACCTCAAAGAAAAAATAAGAAATAAACTTACCTAATGCAGGATAGCCTAGATAAAATCTATCTGCTCCCAACCATCCAAGAAACAAGGACAGAGCCACTGCCACTTTGTAGGAGTATCCATTTCTGCCAAAAGAAACAAGTAATGTAGACAATGACTGCAAGAGATATTCACTCATACTTTTGAGAATTGAAGTAGTGACTCATTTGCCTGCTGCTTCAGTTAAAAAAAGACTTGTTATTTATCTTCAATTAACGGACACAGAATTGTTAACATTAAGCTTTCAAACTGGGTAGGCATCCTCCATAAAGCAACCTCAGCTGTTGCAACTCAAGCATACTCTTGCAGAATACAGATTATTCTGAAACTAAATCATGATTTCTTGTCAAGAGAGACACAATTCAGTTGCTGATACATTCCCAGTTTTGCAGAGCACTTCCTAACAGCTCAGCCCTACTGAGGCAACCCTAGAAAGCTAAGAGGTGTATGCATACTGTCTGTAGGCATTAGTCTCACACGCAGCCAAATCAAGAGGAACAGGATAGACAGGTGAGATGTCACCAGAGACAGTAATTGCAATGAAATCTGAAGGAGAAATGAACCATGGCCACTGGTTGAAGAAGCTGCAGGAAGGATTCAACAAAAAGGGTAAGTCATGTATCCATTTACTACACTCTGAAGGCACAAACTCACAAATGAAAAGAACTGTTGACAGTACAAAGATGTACAGTGGTGGAGAGGTACCCTAAAGTTAAGCATCCCATGGTCAGTCATACAAAATACACAGATACAACAGACTTTTTGAGATTTATACTAATTGGCACCATTCTTGCCAACAGCTGGAGTGATGGGGCCACCTAACCACCTGTAACTTTCAGTCATTGCTCATGTGAACTTTACACTAATAAGCAAGCTAGAAACATATAGCTATCAATACTAGAACTTGCTGCATCCTTTGCTGCATTGGCGAACAGCTAGCTTCTGAAAAGAAAAGCAAACCCAAATGTAATTAGAACTTAAAAAATATTCAATAATTCACTGTTTCAATACGTGCACTACTATGTGCCAGCAATTACTTAATAAGTCCAAATTAAACTCTTGGTTGACAGTTGAATAAAACAGAGTTTCACAAAGACAGTAGCTAAGAAAGGTCCAAGCACCTTTATTAAGCACTTTCAATGCCAAATAAGGATCTACCTTTTTGCTTATTATCTAGATTTACTGACTTTAAAACTTAATGGCAACATTAAGTGATTAAATCATGACTCTTACCTCAGTATTTGTTACTTAGCACTTAGTAGCAACACGGAACAACTGGGCATTCCTGGAACCTAATGTAATGTAAATTATCATTTTTAGAACTGTCTTATTCCCACTAAAAAGAACACTAATGGTTTTATTTAAAAGTTGAGGTAAACTGTTGGAAATTGTTTATCAACTACAAAGTGTCAACAACCCTCCAAGGACACTAAAGCATAAAAAGAGCTCTTACATAAAAGGTGAGAACACAGGTTAATTTGAGATGCTCCTGATCAAAACCAGTAATAAACTGAGCACTTGCCTATGCATTGAGATGCTTTTAAAAACAGAACAGACTGCAACCTAGTCAACATCAAACTGACAGGCAGAAGAAATCTAGTATGAACTGGAAGCATGTTGATGCTGTAACAAGGCTGCATCCACTCCTGTATTTCCTTTGCCTTACTTACTCTTACAAATAAATATATGCACTGAAGACTAAACCAACAAGTAGGAAAATAACATATCCCAGGCACCTAAAGGAATTTCTACAATTGGGTAAAAGATGCAATTTCTTTTCAGCTGCTCTTCTGAATTTTTCTTGCTTCTCAGCCTCATCCAATCTTTATTTTTTTCTGCATACATTCCTTCCAGCTGCCATGTTAAAAACTTTTTCTTCCAGCTCTTGCACACCAGTTGATAATATGCAGGTACTGCTGTAGGTCACAGTGGATTCTGTGCTCTTTCAGGTTCTCTTAGCACTGCTCAAAGACCTCTCCACACTGAACTTCATAGACTACCATTTGATGGACTTCTTGCCTGGAATAGCAATACTTGAGCAATGAACATTTCAAGTCTGCAGAATCAGGGCAGCACATATTAAGCAAAATACATGATAGAGTGCCAATTTGGGGAATTCTAGAATTTGGCAAAAAATCGACCTCCAAAACATCAAACTAAAACCAAACCAAAGCAATCCTGACTCCCAGTACTTCTTTGCTGGAGCAACCTTATTAGCACTTACAAGCTTTTCCTTGAACTAATAGCAACTTGAACACTTACACAAACAGGCAGCATCTCCTGTTCTTGCTCTAAAATAACTGGATCCCAGAACTGTTATATGGACTGTTGTTAAATTCCAGTTTTGGCTAAGGACAACTTGCTGATTTGCTCCTTCCAAAAGCTAGGGATAGAGATTAACCTGCTGTCCCCATGCTAGGACAATCCTACTATGGGAAGATGCCTTCTCAAACCAATTTTCTGATTAAATGATGTGCAGTTATTTCTGCCAGAAGACAGTTACAGTTTCCATCAAAACTCAGATAAGATGCTGGAAAATCTCCAAAAAGCAGTAGAAAGGGCAGGCCTATTGTTGTAATATCAAGCTGGAGATTCCTGCTTAAAATAATGTTTCTAACACTTAGCTAACATTCAAAATGCCTTATAAAAGGCTTATATAACGATCAGCGATTAGACCACTTTTTAAACAAGTGTACATATGAAGGATGGTAATATTAATCTTGCTGCCATTTTTAACTGGCTTTGGGACTTTATCAAGGGCACGCCTGCACAACTCTTTCTACACTCACAGTTGTATTTTACTGGAGTTTTCAACAAGCCCACAAAGGGTCCTCTTCCCCTTCTGCCATACTAGCAGTCATAGGACAGGAAAAGACACAGCAAGTTCTTTTGGTAGTGTAACCATCGATTATTTCATCATAAATAATAGTCATGATCAAGTAATAGACATCATAAGAAGGAGGACATTTTTCTGCCTACATAGATTTGGGTTTTTTATTAATAAATGTAAAGAAAAACTACCTTTAAAAATGTTTCTAGAAAATATATTAAACCAAGAATATATGTATACAAAAAACTCCAAACGTAAGAATTACTGTCTCCAAAGAGGAAGCAATTTTATTGAACTATTATAACTAATTTTATTCTCAGTGACCATCACAGATGGGACTGAAACACAATTGCTTCTGGACAAAAATGTGACTGAAGTCTAGTTTGCTAGCATTTAAATTTGATTAGATGTAATAATGTTTTCTTCAATTTTCTGAGCTTTGACTGTTGAGATGAATAAATACAGAGAAAATATTTCTGAAACTAAGAGGCAGAGCTGTACTTCTGAGTAAGTCAAATTATTGAGCAGTAAGTATCACATCAGAGTTATTTGCCCACTAGTGTGATAAGGAATACCCAGCGAATATTACTGGAGTTTTAATTTCCAAAGATTCCAGTAGGACAAAAGAAAAAGGCTCCTGCGTGAATCCCACAAAAAGGAGAAACAAATGGTACTGACAGGTGTTTGCTGATCATTAGCATTGGCCAGTTGGAACATTTATTGGTGTCCAGAGCTCTCCATTGCTCACAATGTGCTTTAGAAAAACTAGGTCCATCATTTTCACGTTTCAGAAACAGGCTCTTAAAAGACACAGAGGACTTGATTAAATACAAAGGCTGTTTAAAAATAGACAACAGTTCCTCTAAAAGATTTTTTGAGGAACTGGAAAGAGACTTAAACTCCCCCAGTGTGTACTACAACTTAAGCTGCAGCTACAGGCACGCTTTAAACTAGCATGAACCAGTACTGCCACTGAACAGAGCAGCCCAGTCCAGCCCTCCTTTCTCCACTCTCTCTTATCCTTGAGTTGCCCTCATCCTTGTGCTGGCACAAGCACTTGAAGCGACTGTACTGTGACTCAGATTGGGGAACTGATCGAAGTTAGTTCAAACCCCGATCAATTCCCCGATTCAGAATACAGTGGGGTATGTCAGGGAAAGGGATGGAGAGGTGTCCCCAGACAGCTCCTTTCAGCAGCTGTGCGGATTTTAAGCATATGTGAAATGTAGCCTTAGCATTTGGGGCAAATTTTTGCCAGGGTAAAGTACTAAGTAAAGCAAAGGTAAAATACTAAGGTAAAACAAAGACACAAACATAACTAAACAAATTAAAATGTGTCCACAGCTGAGACAGCTTTACTTATAAACATGCATGTTATATCCTTATACTACTCACAGTGTTTATTAGAGGATTAAGTACTGGGCAACATGTGTATGATTCTACCTTACTTCTCTTTTTCCTTCTGTCAAAACATCATACTATTTTAGAAAAACTTCAATGTGAAAACAAAGACAAATTATTACAAAAAACAATAGTGTACTTACACATTGCGACATGCAATGGGCTTGTAAAATCCAACTTCATGTCCTGTAAAGACTTTTTCTATGCCAAGGTGATCTTTGCAAGTAATATTTGGTGCCGGCAGACATTGAACTGAGGACAAAAAAATTATTTGAAATTAAGCAGTAACTGATTGGGTACTGGAGCATTTTTCTGACAAGACACAAGTGGAACACACAAATGAAGTTATACTGTGCAACAGTCTTGATAAACCGCACAGTACACACAGACATACTACTTTTAAAAAAAAATACGTATTTTTAAGCCAGTCCTATGACTAACTTGTCTTTTTGCATGATACATATTAAGCAAAATATACAAACCTAATTGCTGCCCTAATTCTGTTGTAATTTCCATTTTGGCTCCGTTATGAGTCAATGGGAAATCTGAACCTGACATACAGAAAACATTTTCATCGTGAGAACAGTCAAATATTGGAACAAATTGCCCAGAGAGGTGGTGCCATCACCATCCTTGGAGGTTTTCAAGATCTGACTGCATAAAGCCCTGAGCAACCTGGTCTGAATTCAGTGCCAATGCTGCTTTGAGCAGGAGGTTGGACTATATGACTTCCTGAGGTCTCCTTCAACCCAAATTATTCTATTATTCTAAGCTAAGGCTTGACTCTTAACAGAACCAAAGTGGAAATCATAGCAGAAAGTGACATCTGCTAAAAGTTTGCAATGTGTTACCAGAATATTAGTCACTCTCCAATGTTGAAGTCTGTTGTTAAGGGAAAAATCCCAGTCCTTTACCCACTTTCTATTAGTTTTCAGTATTTGTGAGTCGTGTTGGTTGGTTCCAACAAAACAGCAAGCCAGGTTCAACATTTCTTTCCAGATTTTCCAATAATACCTATAGGCAAGAAGACTAGGATTTTGATTTTTTTTTTTTAAAGTATCTATCCATATTGCATAGGGACCAAAAAAAAGAAAAAAATTAATTTCAGGCTGTCAATTCAGTAACAGCCAAAAAATATGAGCTATGTCTGGACTTAACTGCTATAAAGTCCTACATGGATGTTACTCATCAATGTGCCTAATCTGAGACAATTACAAAAAACTACATTCTTTCTTGAAAAAAAATTAAGCAAAGAAAGCAGAGCTTTCTTTTATGTAGAAGAAACCCATAGCAGTTTAAATATATTGATATAGGAAAGGCCACAGTTTTCCTGTCAATGTCATGCCAGTAAGACTTGAAATCTGCTACTCAGTGAGACTACTTGGATGCTTTGAATTAAACCCCTGTTTGTTTGGGTGATGGATCCCAGAAAGATGTTCAGGAACGGTAGTGCTTCAAGCATGATCCAGAAGATTAACTTTTTATTACTTAGATAATACTGAAACAGGAAGTGACTCAAATACTGTGGGGACAATCTAAAAACTGCTATGTGTGTAAAATACTCTATACAGACACAAAAAACAACGTTAATTAATTTAGCAACTTTCCCCACTCTGGAGCTTATCTCCTGTTCAAATGTACAGTGTATTAAATACAATCACATGGTAACTGGTTAGACAACTAACAATTTGAGTTGTGATCAATCTCAAACTACAGAATATTATGTCCACTCACTGACTGGACGTTTATAATCAGGGACGTCCTGATGATAATGATGTCAAAGATGATGTAAAGGACTGAATAACTTAAAAAAGGATCCATTTTGGATAGTACTTTCATCCAGTCTCTGAGGTATTTGGAAAACCTTCACTATCCCTGAGCATCCCAGTGAAGAAAATTATTCAGCATTTATGGAAAACAAAATATGAAAGGCAACAAGCATACACATGTATGTTAAACATGAGTGTACATAAAGCAAAACTGTTGTGCTATTAGCTAACACAGAGACTATTTATTTCAATGCCTGAGAACATCAGAAAAGTTAAACATACATAGTAAACCAAGTGATCAATTTAAGCATTTTTCTGTTGTACTCCAAAGGACATCAGAACTTAACATCAAAATAAATGTAAGTGCTTTCAAAACAGAGCCTCATGGCACCACGTTTCCTTAAAAAAAATAAAAAAAAAATAGAAGATTTTGAAGGCTGTTCTGTCACGTGTCAATTCTTCTAGTAAGTATATGCAAAATCAGTATGACAGAAATGGTTTGTTTTAATCACAGTAGTGCAAGATGGAGCCTAGAGGATATAATATACATTGAAGAGATGTACCAGAAACCTCACTTACAAATGTACCAAACAGACACAATGTATTTATTCATTTTTAGTAAAGCATCCAATCCACACAAGTGTTTTAGGCTTTCAAACTAATGATATTACTAATCCCATGTTTTATAAAGCTCATCTAGCAGACACGCAAATGCATAAACTGAACACTTCCTTGGAAAATGTAGCTACTGTCAATATATGTTTTAAGTTAGAAATCCTTACCATATGCTGTGTGATTTGTACAATTCATTGGTTCTTGTGTACTATTATCTATTTTAGGCTCATCGCACATATATGTTCAGGTAATTGAGGAAAACATTTTTCATATGAAACACTACAACAAGTTTAACAGTAATTTATTCCACCCTCTTTAAACCCTGAGGATTTAAGATGCACCTTGATGTTAGTTCTTCTTCCTACCCATCCCCCAAAATAGGAACAGCACATTACCATACAGCAAATCTGCTAATCCAATTTAATACACCAATATATCGCATAAGCTCCACATTTAATTAGTGCTGCAGTCAGCACTACCTAAAGGAACTACAATATTTATCAGTCACGGCCTCTGTATTTGAAGGCAACAAGGTAGCATGCCTAATCTAGTCTTCTTCCCTTATTTCAATATCAGAGTACCTTTAAATTGAGACATTTGGTTGAGAAGATTAAATCTACAGTAACATACAAAATTCAAAGAATACCTAAAATCGAACATCTGAAATGCCAGGAATTTGGACTAGAAAAAACCTGAGCAGGAACTTATTTCCAGAGGTCTGAACTCCCATGGCCAAGTAAAGCAGGAGATGAAGTTAAGTTTTCCAAGATTTGCTTTCCTGACACTTTTCATCTGCAGCTACATCAATAACTGTCAGCTACCATCAACAAACATTTTCTGGGGAAGGCCTGACGTGCCTTTGGAGAGTCAGGAGCCTCGCAGCTAGAGTCTATAACACCTGCGCCCTGCTCCTTCAGACTGTGGAGGACGACTCAGCATTTTGCAATGCCACTGCATCTCACTCGTCCTGCAAAAAATAAGAAGGTGGAGGGGTGGGGGAGAGGGGTCTCTCATCCCATGGGATTTTCTCTTTGAAAATCAGAGACACCCCAAACCTGCACGCAGGCACACACAGTACCACCCCCAAAATAAACCTACGCCGCTGCAGACATGCCCTCTCCTGCTCCTTCTAGCTAAGACCCCCTCGGGGCTCCTGACCTGAGGCTTTCTCTGACACCCGAGGGGCTCCCTCCCCCTCCCTGTCAGGAACCTCACACCCTCCACCTCCCCCTTCCCCTCCACCCGAGGCTGCTGAGCAAGCGGCCCCCCCTCAAGCAAACCG